AAAGATATGCTAGTTATTATTAAATATTTAATTGGACACCAGAGCCCGGCCCTGGATGATGGGTCCCGATAACTTCTGCGCCACCAGCACCTCGCCCTGAGGGGAGACAACCAAAGATATGCTAGTTAATATCAAATATTTAATTGGAGAAATCACATGGAAAAAACATCGGCACGTGAACTTTATTCTGGCAATAGTATTGTTCGTGTTTTTTAAATGGGTAAAACTACTGCCCACCAATATATTCTACAAAATACGTATATCAATACCAGAGTAGAATGCCTTCTACTCTGGTTGTATTGGTCCGTTCAACGGTACTTCATTTTAAGATACTTTAGGATCTTCAAAGATACTTCAGTCTTTAAAGTTACTTCAAAGACTGAATTGAGTGTGGAATGTGATGCAGGCCATAGCTGTGGAATGTGATGCAACCCATAGCTGTGGAATGTGATGCAAGCCATAGCTGTGGAATGTGATGCAAACCATAGCTGTGGAATGTGATGCAAGCCATAGCTGTGGAATGTGATGCAAGCCATAGATGACATTAGCTCCAAAGGAGGGACGCGAGACGAGCAACAACGCCGCATTTTTATCCAAAAGAACTATAAAATCCCAATAAAGACCATTGCTTGCCCTAATGCACGTAAAATAAGCCTATGTGTTGTCCTTGAACGGCTCGAAGCAAGAACCCGATTCGATGGCATTCGGTGCGTGGTCATTAACTTAATTATGCGACGCAATTATGCACCATATCTGGCATAGGAGCGATGATCTCTGAATGTGGGCTTTTGTGCAATCGTATTTACTTGGAATTAGCGTTATTTATACGTTCACTATTTGCTTACCTACAAAATTCTTGTTAGATAACAAATTTTTTGTAAAACATAATTAAAGTAAGTGCCTATGAAAAGAAATGCTACCTGGTTTTATACAGTAATTCTGCATCCTGAATCGTTTGAATAAATTCGGGTCTTCTGACACGAAGTTTTTATTAGTTATTTCGTCTGCTCATTAATATTCAATGTCTCTATTAGTACTGAAATGAATCATATCTTTCCATATGACTTATTTCAAATTCGTATTTTATTCATTTTATGATGTTTTATATCATCTCGGGTTTTTATTAAACTGTGAAAATATTTTATAATAATTGCATAACCTTTGCATAACGCTTTGTCGGAATTGTGAACAATTTGACAAAATTTTGTGAACGAATTAAATAAATATGTTAAATTAAAAGCTAAGCTTCCTTTCCCCGATTATGATTGGTATAAATCTACGCAGAAGTAAACAAACATTTAGTTATCTTGGCTTAGTGTTAAGTAGATAATAATCAAAGGGCCCAATAACTGTAATAAAATAACTAAACTGACGCAATTTCTAATATATAATTTTACACTGTTTAAAATAATAGGAGCATGAACTACGATAAAAGAACTCCATTCGACGGGTATTATTTCTATTGTCAATTTCGTCCATTTGTAATGTAAGAATCCAACATTATTCATAGAATTGCGTTGTAAAATTCATAGATTAGATATTTTAGAATGAATTAAGGCCCGACTAAAAAAACAAAATTGCCGTATTATCCTGGAATTGATTTAATTAATTGAATTTATGGCATCACCATCAAGCTAAAATTGAACATTCGGAAATCAATCGCAATTGAACTCAACTCAACGAAAATTCAGTCTATTTAAATTGATCCTCAAAAATCATTGGAATTTTTGTGTGAATAATGCGACTTTTAGAACAAAATGCGTTTTTTTCGCTCTTCTGGCACCAGCTGACGTTATTGAGTTTTTTTACTGTATTCCTGTATTTTTATACGTGTTATTGCGGTCTTTTAACTTTTACTCGGAACCCGGCCAAGTAAAAGTTATGACGCTAAACAATTTTTTGTTTGTGTCATGACGTCATGAACCAAAATGATTCTAAATTTTCAATTTTTAGTTGGTTTTTGGAGAAAATTATTCTTCGTTTTCATCTTTAACAAAATAATAACATTATTTCTCAAAGTATCTTCAAATTCTGCAAGAACGCTCCATCAGGCACTGATCACAAAGCAAACAAATGAAAAATAAAACAATAATAAAGCAGCAATTATTCTAATTTGTCCAGAAATATCTCCGTATCATGAGGCATTAACAGCTCTGAAATTGCCTTACAAATTTTCCGAAGTTCGACACTATATCAAGCTTAATTTATTCGATGGGTCCAAACGGAGACCGTATATAACGAAGATTTTCCCCGTTGACTAACTTCGGACAATTTCTACGTACATTCTCTCAATTAAATTTGCATTTTGATTGTTAGGCTATGAATATTGCGTTTAGAACTAATTGACATCGCTGTAATGCTCTCACAGGACGCCGTTCAATTCAGAGGATGTAGGCGGCCGGAGTTCGAAGAGACTCGAGTTTTGTTGCCGAGGCAATGTCAGTATAATGTTGCTTTGATCGGTGATTTCAGGATTACTTGTACGAATGGATCATGAATTAGGAACGAACACTATTTAGTATTTATTAATACCTCCGCCAGTGCTTGCGTGTTCAAGGTGATCTTTTCTGCACAGTTGAGTTGTAAAATATTCAGCGAAAGGGTTGGCATCAATTGCAGTTTCTATTAATGCGTCTATGTCAGCTGTTCTGAAAGGAAAATCCTTGTCATGAGTTTGAAACGTTTGATAATAGCTATTTATAATCAAAACCACTTTTGTGTGCTGTATTTATTTGGATTGATCATCCAAATGCACGTGTCATTTAAATGGAATGCTCGTATCCATTCTCGTAACAAAGCTAGGAGTGATAAAAATGGTTACATTAGTTCAACATATTCTGGAGTTTGTTTGTCAGCAGCGCTGCATGCCAAGTTTTCGAAGCATTTGTTTAATAAACATACCCTAATCGTAAAATCTTTGCTAATAATTCGTTCTCACATTTTATGATTAAGGAGACAATATTTCAGTGCTTTTTATCTATTAGCTTCATATTTCCTTGTTAACAACGATTATTCGACCGCCTTATTCAATAATTAACACCAAAGACCTGGAGTATCAGCGTAGACATGTTTGTTCTCAATAGCAATCCTCGGCTGGCTGGGCCATCAATCATGGAGTTCGCTAGAGAGTTAGGGCCTGCCTTTTCTAATGACAGACGAGAAATTGAATCATAATGCGATGGTATGCCGCTCAATACAAGACTCTGTGATGAGTCCGTTCTACTCCATCATTATGTATGAATTACTCGCCACCTACGTCGATATTAGCGACGCGAGAGCAGCACATGCGATTGCTATCGAATTCTTCAGTCGAGACGTTCTCAGCACTAAACATTCGTCAGCTTTAGTTTTAGCGAAAGTTTTTGATTGTTGTGAATAAAGGTCGAGTAGTAATTCTAGTCTCATTCGACTGGCAGTCTTTTTATTATTGAGACTTAAATGGCCAATTTAGTCGTGCTCCTTGAGAGTATCTCATTGATTTCTTTCCATTATCTTGTTGTTTAGCTGTTTTCGTAATTGGGATTAGTTAGGCTTATTTATTTCATGCCTAGACAATTTTTGTTATCTTCATCCATAATTTTAGAACAGAACGCGATGTTAATAATTTCATATACGACAAAAGTTTCAATTATAATCATGTAATTTTTATTTCAATAATCCTTTCTAAAATTGTTTCATAGCGAGAGTGGGTAGACAATTATTCCTCGAATTGCAGTACGATGGTTTAGAAAACAATATTTTTAGTATATTTCCAATTAACATACAGAAAATTTTGTTGCAGTTTAAGGTAAATAATGAACTAGAATGATAACTTATCTTTTATTACGTATCCGCTTACGAAATTAAATGGGAGGAAATGAATAAATCGGTCTTCAATAAACGACACACGCGCTGGAAATCCTTACACTTAAGACACTAAATTATGTTCAAAATTCTCAGCAAGATTCATGTTACTCCTCGAAAATAAATATGTATGTACGTATGTCAGTTCTGACTCGCACGCAGCCTATATTGTGTCTGGCAGTTCTGGCTTGAGACGTGAGCAAGAAAATACCCTGAGATGCATTGATAACTGCAAGATTTTTTCTACACTACGAGCGTGTGTTTGCATTAGCCATGTAATTCTAGTTCAATTCTTCTCTTTATTACGCTCTGTAGGTCGGTTAAAGGGATTTTTCAAGTTTTAAATGCCGAGCAAATTCATTTCAATCAATTATGTATTGTTTAAATTTCAATGGGAAAAGTTTTAGGAAAAATAAATTCAATTATAAAGAAGGGAGCAACGTTAAATTTGTTTCACATAAGGTTCAAATTTTCTTTCAAGTAAATAAATCAATGATTAAAAAATTGTTTTTTACACATTCTTTTTATGAACAGGAGGATTAAGAATTGTAAATCACGATAACAGCCACGTTCCATTGAAAAAATGTATGATATCTTTTGTTGAGTTTGGTTTACCCTAACTCGGTGAGATGAGGGTAGTTTCTTAATTTTTCGGTTTAATTACCCAAGTGTACAGTGCGTCTGTTTCTAATGTTGCTACTTCACTCCATTCATTTGATATAAATGACATGTTTATTTATTCTCAACTACTGTGTCCTCGGATACATAACTATTAAAAAATACCAGATTGGGGTACACATCAAATGGGAAACTGCACATTTATTCTAGATTGTCCGAATTCATTAGGTAATATTTGACACATCATGTAGAAAAGGTGAAATTAGGCTAAACGGCGCTCTCTTGATGTTTGCCAGAAAGGAAATCACCTACCCCTGTTCTTACGGCCAAAGGAGTTATCATTGGGTTCTTGAGGATGGGCTTCCTGCCCAAGGTTGCGTAGTGAGTTACAGGGGCAGAAGATTTGCTGAGGCTCGTTATGGAGGCCTTGGGATTACCTCTGCCATCAGTGGAGGAAGTGGGCACAGAGCTAACGGTTCCTCCGCTGCTACGCTCAGATCCTGCAGGAAAACCTCGGTACTTGAGGCCAACGGGAGGCGAGATGCACGATGGAAGCATAGGAGGAAGCTGCTGGTGAAGACACGAGATATCGTGGAGGGAAGAGGATGATGTAGACCCTAATCTATCTGGATGTTGCTGTGGCTGCTGACGCAAACTTGCTGACACTGAGTAAGATCCACTTGGGCAGGAAAAATCGTCGCTGCAATTATCATGAAGAAATTTAGGCTGAGAATTCTGCCGATACTGGTTAGGACCAAAAGCCATGGCGTGAGATGGAAATTTCCTTTGCTGATTAATGTTTTGCTTTTCGTTGGTCATCATTTGGTTTCCATTGTTTGAAGTCATAATTATCCGATCATCGGCTCGACCGTCATGCGATTTATTTAACAATAAAAATGACCCCGTTTGGGGTCCATGATGCTGAGTGGAAATTTGCTGATGCTTCAGAAACAGCACATGTTGGTGATGAGGCTGTGTGGTGTGGTGCGCCTGATGCAAGAGTTGGTCCTGGGAGACGTTAGCTGCCATTGACGAAGGCGCCTGCAGCGGCGATTGGAACATCGTTCGGCCCACGCCACAGTCCATCTGCTGCCCTCCAAACTATAGACAGGAATGAAATAAAAAATCGCATTGTGCGTATGAAGAAATTCACACAGTTCTATATCTCGACTATTATTACTCTTAATAAGCTGTCTACTAAAATTGAATTTTTACGTTCGAAGTTAAATAAACAAATTCTAAATCAAAACATTTGGTTCAACTTGCAACTCTTTTTGAGCCTATCCCAACATCGATCGTAGTATAGATAGACTTTGAAATAGCTTGGAATAAGAATCATTTTGTGTGCTCTATATAACCACCTGTTGGTTGATAGGAATAAACAATTGGTAGACAATAGGTATATATCTCATGTCATCTTCAGGTAATTTATAGTCTGGTATACAATCAAAACGAAACGTCAATTTAAGCTCAACTAGAAGCCCTTCCTACTGATCAATGACGTCATCTTCCTCTAGAGAAAGCAAGAGCGGCGTACTTCCAAGAACTGGGCAAAAAAATGGACCATCGATGGGAGATGAATGAAGGGAAATTGAATTAATCTCACGTCTCAAAATTATTCAACGCAAACGTCCCCCTAATGAGCCTAATCCCTTAGCTAATCGGATAAACTATGTTCGTCAGAATCGGGCGAAAACAATTGACGAGTAATTCGGTTAATCCAGCGGGTCATGGGATCAATCCTACTAATATTGGAATTGATCTACTAATTAATATTATGATAGAACCATCGACTGCTAACAAAATTAATCGTCATCCGCCATTGATGGACATAACAAGTTCTTGCTGAAGGGTTTGTTATACTCACGGCGGTCTGGCGGTCTGCGGCCGACGGTTGGTTGTGGTGAGGGAAGGACGAATGCCGGACTCCGACTGACGAATCTGAGCAGCATGATAGACGAATATGTCATCTATTTGGTTCTGTTCGATGCGTAAATAATTTGACCTGGCTAACTTGATTGAAGACACCAGAATTTTTACTGGTACCTTTCAAAAGGTATTAAGATCGCTTGGGCCAATACTTTCAAAAAAAGTTAGGAGATCGTAAATTCATCGGCCAATCATTGACGGCCTTTCAAGGAAAATCCACCAATCATAGACAAGAAAATAGAGCGTAAGTGCTTACGTTTACTTAACGAATTTTGAAAGTATGGCCCTTGGTTGCTTAAATCGCACATTCACCATCCAGAAGGCTTGCATCGTTACGATGTGGGGATCGTATTAACAAATCTAATCGATGCAGTTTAACACATAACGAATAACTGAATAATAGATGAACAGTAATGAGCACAATAGATAAATTTATGAAACTATGTTACCGATTGTATGATTGAGTCGCACATTTTTATTTGACGCTATTCCATTATTCTATTGTTATCATTCGAACTAAATAAAAGGCACCGTAAACACGAGTTTTTTGTTCTTCCTTAACGCAAGTTTCTTATCTTGTCTGGTTCATTATTTAGTTAAACTTTCCTTACATTAGTATGTAAGGAAACCCATCAAAGAAACCCATGTTTATCCCATTAGTACAGGGTAAACTTTCCTTGCATTCCTTACATAATTAGTAATGTTTCCGAAGCCATGAGCAAGTTTGAAAATATTATTAAAAACTCGTAAATAAAATATTTGTCTGCACGAACTCTGTTTCAACGTGAAGGTTTCCTGTAATTTTTGTAATTCAGCGTTAATTTACGTTATTAACCTTTTTGAAATTTTGTAACACGATCATTGGTTGAGGTTTGTGTTTATTATCTACAATTTTAATTTGTATTCCAATTACATACACACGGAGAAAAATTTTCAATGAAATTAGAATTTAGTTTCACACACCAAGTAAATGCCGTAACAGCAGGTAATCACGTGTAAATTTACTAGCAATTAATACATGATTGCGATTAATTTAAATTAGTTCCAAATGCATTTTTTAAACTACTAACCAGTGCCCAGCACGAGGTCTGGGTTATTGTGCAGGCCGTCTGCCTCAGCGGCCGCAAATTGCTTGGTCTCTTCAGTCTGCCCCGAAGATCGCTGCAAGCCTCGGCCCTCGTCTCGCGAGACAGACGAAGCACCCGAGACTTCACTGGCCTTCGACTCAACGGATGGACAAGCTCGCATGAGACTGCCTTCCTCTTCCAGCGATGAACTCGACACAAAATTGCCTCTAGCTTTGGATATTTTAATGTTTTCATTGTTTTCAGCAGCGCATTTTAGTGAAGTTAATGCAATATCTTTTCCCGCTCTTGGATGCGGAGGAGGCGTGTTTGGGATGCGATCTGTGTCTGCTCTAGACGCGCAACATTTCGGTGCGTATCTCGCCAAGAGTAATCCGAGCGCCAATAGAAGCACCACAACACCAACTCCGCCAATCACCGCGCCAATCACAGGCGGCATTGATATCTCCTCAGGTGGACCTAGAAATTAATTGATGATATTAAGCGAACCGGTTTACGAAGCCATATGAAAGAACTTATCATGTCTTGCGACCAAGCGAAGCTATAACAATATCAAGTTTAGAATTTGAGTATACATCGTTACTAACACTTACAATTGTATATACTGAAAATAAGTTTATGAAAGAAATTCACTCTAACCCATTCGTTTTTCAGCGACTTTCATGATGTCAGCCTCGAGCGTGACGGGCAGACTGGCACCGGACGACGCCACGCTCCTGATGGAGAGGCGGACGCCCGTGCCGCTCTGGAGGCCGCCCACCCACCACTCTGGCCGTGAGCTGGAATCCAGGAGCGAATAATTTTAATTCATTGGAACCTTAATTATTAGTTTTAATGAAAAAATTAGTGTATACTGTTATAATAGGAGGTATTCAAATTCGAGGTTAGTTATGTAGGTCTCTCCATCTAACAGAGAGAATGTTTCTCTTGTATTTCCAGTAATTTTCTCGATGAAAATTACTCGAAATTGTAGTAGGAGTAAAATCAAATCAAATTATATATTGAAATTCTATGCAATTCAGAGCTAAATTGTGCACCCCTGAAGTACTATCCTTAAAGAAAAAACCTCTGAATTCGTACACATTAACATGTCTCTAATGAGCTATCAACGGCATTCCCGTAGAATAATTGTCAGAATAATTACAAAGTTTCCAAACTATATGCTTGGTGCAATTATTTTCCCAGTCGTGTCCAGCTATTGTACTATTTGGCGCATACAACTGAGGTAAATTTGAATAATTCATGAGACCACAACACAGTGATCTCAACGACATAGGAACCAGCTAATCCTTTGCTTGCATCCAGCGCGGCCATAGCAGCAGCAATCTTCAAGTTGAATGACCGATAAATTTCGAGATGCAATCAATGTTGAAGTATTGCCTTTCATGGCCTCAATGGAGCTGTATGGCTCGGGTCAGTTGCTGAATCTTGCTCCATATATCAGAACAATGGCCTCTTCCCGTCCCATCGTTCCATAAAAAACTCACCCTGGTCCAAAAGTCCATTCATTGATAATAAAGATTTTCTACCTCCTTTCAACGTTCTGATGAAGCAAAAATCAGAAAATCTCTTCAAATTTGATTTCCAATCTTTGGACCTCATAATGAAATAATGATCCCAAAGAATGAAGACCTTTACTATTTTCCACGGGAGTTAACCCAGCGAAGAAAATTATCGTGGAATAGAAATGCTGGTTTGCCATTTAATAATTCTTGAGTGCACTCAATAAATCAGGCCAAGTGAATTGCGCCTCCATTACCGCAGGCTGCTTCGAAAGTCGCTGCCATTGAATTGGTAAAGACCTTGGAAATTCGGGAACGTCGAAGACGGCCTCTATTCACTATTGCCGATGCTAGGCATAGAGCTTGACAAAGATTTCTTTCCGCTGTTCTAAATGTGTAACTATTGAATGATCCATCGAACAAAATTTGAATTGGTTTAATGATATAGATTTAGAAATGATCGACTCGTACTTTTTTTAGGGTCTTTTCTATTTTGTTTTTGTAAAGCTTATATTGAGTGACGTGCTGTTCTCAGTTTCAACTGAGGCTAGTTTAAAAAAGGTGTTGAGATTTAATAACTTAACATCATCTGTTCAAAATATTTCAGCGTTGTCCAGAATTTCATCTGTTTATGTCATCGACATAGCTCATTAGCTTATTTTTGCACTCTCAGAAGGAACCTTTCTGCTATTGTGTTTTAACATAGTTTTTGTGAGATTTCGTTTATTTGTTATTTTGGATTTTGTTAATTTTGTTTTATGTCAGATATTTCGGTAATTCATGAGTTATTTATGAGCTCTAAAATTTTTACTGCAACGCTTTTTCGTAGCTAGTTTACCGCCAGTGGCTCTTATTTCGCAAAACCCTTCACCTGCTTCATTATGAATTATTGTATAGTCTAAACGTCACATCTCATTAACATGCCATTTGATAACCTACTTTTTGATCTCCCGGTGCCAGCAAGAAATTTTATTCGATTCATTGAAAAAAAACAAATAGGAAGATTGTTAATAAAAAGCATGCTCTGGTCTTCAATTTAACATGCATAACTTTATTTATACCACACGTTGCACTCACTTGGAGGTGTTCTGGATAAGCCTGTTCTGCACCCAGGCTTCCATGATGTACGTGATCTCCTCTGTCGACATCTCCTCTGCCGGAGCGCACACCACAGAGATCGCCTCGCTGCTCTGGTTAGCGATGCTGCAGTTGATGGGAGCTGCCGGCACATCTAGCAGCGAGGGATTAGAATAATTATTTCCTTATGCTACCGCAATATTTAATTGAACTGATGGTGATATTACAAAATGAAAGAATTTTTCTTGACGGCCCATGAAAGGTGAGGTCTCAATTGAAAAATGACAGATTATTTTTCATTGAAAAACGAACTTGGATATCATGCTCCCCGATATGCACAACAATGAAAACAACTTGCCCGGCGGGGAAAAAAACCAAATTCAAAATATTTTTTAATCAGCCACAACTTATTTGAATGATAAAATTATCATCGCTCAGACGAAGGCAAGAACATCTCGACATCAGAAATGAAATGTGCTTACTTGGAGGCCGCGCCTGTGGGACGAGGTGTATAACACAAGGCTTCCGCTGGCTTCCAATCGCATTAGTGGCCCAGCACAGGAGCGTCCCGAAATCTTGTTCCATGGCAGTCGTATAATTAAGCGCTGATATTGTACCGTGGTTCTCAATGCTCTCCAGCGGCAACGCTTCTCCTTCACTCGAGCCATTAAACTTCCAAGTGAAGTTCACTTGAGGCGGGTAAGCTTCCACCTCGCAGATGACTTTCGCACTGCCCTGTTTCTGGACGCTCTGCGTGCGGCGATGAGGAGCCGCGCAAACTGGTTTATCTGCGGGATAGGCAGCGGGTGCCTTGATCAGTCCACTTAATTACGACTCCAGCGGTAGAATAATGACCTCAATTACAACTTTAATTAACCATGTCCCGGAATTCGCCCGCTCTGATTAGAACTTCAGACTTTCGCATGTTATGGCTACGTTCCTTGCAATGGCGTTATTATTGCAGTGATCAATGAGATTAAGTTGTAGCACTGATAACATCGAAAAGATACTTCGAAAACTTCTGTAAGAAATCAAGCATCCTACGCTCTTGTCAGTGATCATTTTCGCGAGTTTATGTATTTTTTTCATTCATTATTAGAAGCAGCTTAAATCCGTAATCCTCTCATAGAAAGCAACTTAAATATACAGTATATCTATCTGCATTTGCAGTTGAACCAAATATCAGAGGGTATATTTTAATGAATTGATCATTGGATGCTTCGTGTCTGCCTTTCACATTTACCGAATTCGTTTATTGAAATAATTAAAACTTTTTGTTATGGTCGAAATGAGTTAAAAAAAGTGAGCAAACAAAAAAGGTTTGTAATTCACAAATTAAATAACGAAGCTGGTGGTGCCGTCTAAATAAAAATAAAAGTTTGAACTATGAAACTGAACCCCAAATCATGAAAGTGAAGCAGTCGTATATCTGAAGAAATCGAAATTGCCTCGCATAATCGCCAACAAACTCGACCATTGAAACCAAAAATGTTGCACTTTCCAATGCAGGTAAATCTTAAGTGACATTCCACAATCTGGAAACACACGCTCCAGCCAGCGCAATCTAATATCTTGGCTACCGAACGCCGCCGAGTCGGGACGAGGGAAAGGTCAGGCTGAATAACACGTGTTGTCTAAAAGGCCATAGCACTTTTTCTCAGCATTGTAGAAGCATATTTAAGTGTTAGTGCCGATGAACTGCAGTGAAAGTATAATAAGAAGGCTTCTGTGAAGCGTTTCATAACATGTGTTATTTTTATTGATATCTTATTAGTTAAATCGATCCTAAAAAATTAGATTCACCACAACAAATTTCGTTAAAATGCATAGCTTTATTAACGAGTATTACACACCACTGAGATTTTGATAAAAATATGTTAAAAACATACATTATTATTATTATTATTATATATTATTATATATAGTTTTCGTTTTTAAGGTAGCATTGTGTGAGTTTCATGAATTCAATTTAATAATTTCATTAATAAAAATGAAATTCATCATTGAACGACTGTTAAATGTCAGTGTCCACGCATTCGCACTAACCAATAAACAATTCATTGCAAAATCCGATCACGCCTACACCTAAAAATCATGCCTAAGTCTATGAGCTCTGGACAGAAGCAATTCGTATCGATATATATGCCTGGTAACTAAAGATACTTACATAGACAATGGTTTAAATAAATAATGATCAAATAGTGGGCTGAAAATAGCAGCAGAATACTATCACGCCTACACATAAAAATCCCGCCTAAGCCCGTTGGGTTCGGGACAAAAGCAGTTCGTATCGATAAGCCTGGTAACTAATGGTAAATACATAGACGATGGTTTAAATAAAAAGTGAATAAATAATGGACTAAAATTAAACGTAGAATATTACATTGACTCACACATAACGTTAAGGTCAGCCGGGTTACTGACACCTCTGCCCTGGGAGTTCTCAGCAGCGCAGGTGTAGCGGCCAGCTCGCGTCCTGTCCACCTTCTGCAGCACCAGCGCCCGGCCCTGGATGATGGGTCCTGACCACTTCTGCGCCACCACCACTTCGCCCTGAGGGGAGACAACAAAAGATATGCTAGTTATTATTAAATATTTAATTGGACACCAGAGCCCGGCCCTGGATGATGGGTCCCGATAACTTCTGCGCCACCAGCACCTCGCCCTGAGGGGAGACAACCAAAGATATGCTAGTTAATATCAAATATTTAATTGGAGAAATCACATGGAAAAAACATCGGCACGTGAACTTTATTCTGGCAATAGTATTGTTCGTGTTTTTTAAATGGGTAAAACTACTGCCCACCAATATATTCTACAAAATACGTATATCAATACCAGAGTAGAATGCCTTCTACTCTGGTTGTATTGGTCCGTTCAACGGNTCCAATGGAATCGTCAGAAAGTAAGCTTTAAGATGAGTATGAGCACCGGATAATGCCATGATTGGCCGCTTTACGTCAGACGTTCCTTTTTAGTGTGTCTAGCCTTTTAGTTAATCCCATAGGCTTCAGTTAAGGGCTCTAAAAACTCCTCCCCTTCGGGGGGCTGTTACGAAATCATTTTTTGACGTAGAGGGATGATTCTGGTACCGTTGGATGCGTCAAAAACTAAGCTTTAATATGAGCTCAAAAACCGGAAAACGCCAAAATTGAAAATTTTAGGGTAGTCGGTCCCCTTAATATTATTTTATATTCTCTAAGTTTATTCATGGGATCTCGAAGAAATGTTTCGGTTCAAAAAGCTGCTGACAAAGAAACAAATAGATCAAAGCTAATTTAATGTATTTACACTCATTTCGAATCGTCGTTTAATCAGTCAACCATATTCCGTAAAAAAGTTTGTGTCTTAACGAATAATAATTGGTAACTTTACCTTGAAATTTTACCCTGCTTTACTTATTTGACAGCCTACATGTATGTACTAACATTTCTGCGCCTATTTTCACAGCCTTTGTACTCATATTACTGTACCTATTATAACAGTCTTTGTTCTCTCATTATGGTACCTATTATAACAGCCTTGTACTCACATTACTGTACCTATTATAACAGCCTTGTACTCACATTATGGTACTTATTATAACAGCCTTTGTACTCACATTATGGTACCTATTATAACAGCCTTTGTACTACCATTACTGTACCTATTATAACAGTCTTTGTTCTCTCATTACTGTACCTATTTTAACAGCCTTAATACTCGCATTATTGTACCTATAATAACAGCCTCTGTACTCACATTATGGTACTTATTATAACAGCCTTTGTACTCACATTATGGTACCTATTATAACAGCCTTGTACTCACATTATGGTACTTATTATAACAGCCTTTGTACGCACATTATGGTACCTATTATAACAGCCTTGTACTCACATTATGGTACCTATCATAACAGCCTTTGTACTCACATTATGATCCCTATTATAACAGCCTTGTACTCACATTATGGTACCTATNAATCGAAATTGCCTCGCATAATCGCCAACAAACTCGACCATTGAAACCAAAAATGTTGCACTTTCCAATGCAGGTAAATCTTAAGTGACATTCCACAATCTAGAAACACACGCTCCAGCCAGCGCACTCTAATATCTTGGCTACTGAATGCCTCCGAGTCGAGACGAGGGAAAGGCCAGGCTGAATAACGCGTGTTGTCTAAAAGGCCATAGCACTTTTTCTCAGCATTGTAGAAGCATATTTAAGTGTTAGTGCCGATGAACTGCAGTGAAAGTATAATAAGAAGGCTTCTGTGAAGCGTTTCATAACATGTGTTATTTTTATTGATATCATATTAGTTAAATCAATCCTAAAAAATTAGATTCACCACAACAAATTTCGTTAAAATGCATAGCTTTATTAACGAGTATTACACACCACTGAGATTTTGATAAAAATATGTTAAAAACATACATTATTATTATTATTATTTATTATTATATATAGTTTTCGTTTTTAAGGTAGCATTGTGTGAGTTTCATGAATTTAATTTAATAATTTCATTAATAATAATGAAATTCATCATTGAACGACTGTTAAATGTCAGTGTCCACGCATTCGCACTAACCAATAAACAATTCATTGCAAAATCCGATCACGCCTACGCCTAAAAATCATGCCTAAGTCTATGAGCTCTGGATATGCAGGAGCAATTCGTATCGATATATATGCCTGGTAACTAAAGATACTTACATAGACATTGGTTTAAATAAATAATGATCAAATAGTGGGCTGAAAATAGCAGTATAATACTATCACGCCTACACATAAAAATCCCGCATAAGCCCGTTGGGTTCGGCACAAAAGCAGTTCGTATCGAAAAGCCTGGTAACTAAAGGTAAATACATAGACGATGGTTTAAATAAATAGTGAATAAATAATGGGCTAGAATTAAATGTAGAATATTACATTGACTCACACATAACGTTAAGGTCAGCCGGGTTACTGACACCTCTGCCCTGGGAGTTCTCAGCTGCGCAAGTGTAGCGGCCAGCTCGCGTCCTGTCCACCTTCTGCAGCACCAGCGCCCGGCCCTGGATGATGGGTCCTGACCACTTCTGCGCCACCACCACTTCGCCCTGAGGGGAGACAACAAAAGATATGCTAGTTATTATTAAATATTTAATTGGACACCAGCGCCCGGCCCTGGATGATGGGTCCCGACCACTTCTGTGCCACCACCACTTCGCCCTGAGGGGAGACAACCAAAGATATGCTAGTTAATATTAAATATTTAATTGGACACCAGCGCCCGGCCCTGGATGATGGGGCCCGACCATTTCTGCACCACCACCACTTCGCCCTGAGGGGAGACAACCAAAGATATGCTAGTTATTATTAAATATTTAATTGGAGAAATTACATGGAAAAAAATCGGGACGTGAACTTTATTATGGCAATAGAACTGTTCGTTGTGTTTTAAAATAGGTAAAAATACTGCTCCTCAATGTATTCTACATAATATATTATTACCAGAGTGGATTCTCTTTTCTACTCTTGTTGTATTGGTCCGTTCTTCAAGGGGCTGACTTGAGTGTGGAATGTGATGCAATCCACGCCTGGGGAATGAGATGCGAAACACGGCTGTGGAATTTAATAATGCGAAACACTGCTGCAGAATGTGATGCGCAACACGGTTGTGGAATGTGATGCGAAAAACGGCTGGGGAATGCGATGTGAACCACGGCCGTGGAATATGAAGCAAACCACAGCTGTGGAGTTCTATGCTTGATATTAATTGAGCCAAATTGACGACGCATAACAAAAATATTCACATTAATAAAACGTTTGGCTCAGATACATAAAATTTCTAGTGCAGTAGCAAACATACAAATTATAGCCTGGATAGAAAGTTCTACCTCTTAACATAGCAGTAAAGGTTTAGTCGGCATTTTTGGGTTTATAGTGAAGCCTGATAAATGACTGGCTAGTGTTATTACTCTTATGTATTCAGCTTTGTTAATTGAATTGAATTGAAAATGATGACAGAAACAATTCCCAACAAAGAAAAAAGTGGAGGAACAAACTAGGCAGAAAGGATTTTAATTCACACTTTTTTGAAGCTCCTTGATGTTTTGATACAAAATAATTCCTGTCATTCATATCTCAAGTGAATCTGAATCATTTGAACATTAAAGACATATAAGCGCTAATATATAACAATATATTAGCGCATTACGACATAAAATAAGCATTACAAATATTTGATTGCGAAAATCCGTAATTGAACTACAGATTCAACTGCAGGAGTTGGACATAATAAGGGAAACGCCTGACATTTTGACATCGTAATTTTTTAACATGTTATAAACAATAGAAATATAATATATTCTTATGTTTTATTGTTTATTGTTCCTGTTTAATTGATATTTTATCCTCGCACAAATATTTTTAGTTAATTTTTGTGTCTATAATCTAACCTATTTCCCATGAATGGCAACCTTTATGGCTTTTAAAGAGCTCAAATTCTTGGAGCCCGTAGGGAGGTGCTAGTGTGACAGAAACTTCCAGAATGCTTGACGTTTCTAGAGATACTGTCTCATTCGCAATGACTGCTATTGAATGAGAAGTAAAAACGTCCTCAGCAAATCACAGGTCTGGCCGAAAGTCGAAGTTGTCTGAGAGAGACCGTCACCTAAATAGAATTGCGATTCACAATCGAAAGACCACGGCTGTTAAAATTACTGCAGACCTCAATTGACACCTACAGATCCCAGTTTCCATAAAGACTGTCCGCCGATTGCTGCACAAACCTGACTCCATGGAAGAGCAGCAATTAGAAAACCTCTTGTTTCAACCACAAATGCTTCAAATCGTTCAGCGTGGTGTAAAAACCTCCAGAATTTGTCCCTCGGGCAGTGAATGATATTTTCTCTGAAGAATCATCGTTTAACTGATTTCCAACCTCGGGCCGAGTTTACGTTTGGAGACAGCTGAAAAAGATATTTAATTCCGACTGCCTCCTCCCAACCGTAAAAGATAGCGGGGATCTTTGAAGACCTGGGGTAATGTAGCGGGCCAGCTTTGGCCGCGCTATTAGTTTTCTTCAGCCGCCGCACCTCTCTAACAGAGACTGAAGAGAAAAAGTATGCGTAGGTAGTTTTCTCGGGAAGTAGCTGATTGCCAGTAAGCAGCCTACTTTTTCCTGACCTACCACCCTTTGTAATTAATGTAAATATTTGTATTTAATGTCCATATAATGTCTTTATTCGTAAGCCTATATATACATTTAGTGGAAGTTCTATGTCGTTGTTGCCGATTTTCCATGGAATACAATTAAACTTTATGGCCCTTGAAAGTTTGCAGATCTGTTTTAATTAAACCTCGTACGTTAGGGCCCGCTTACAGAGACCCAGTAACTTTTATGGTATGCAGGGTAGTTGTCCCGCAACAGTACCATTTCTTAGAAAACCGGAGAACCAATGATTTCTCATCATGGAAGATTCAACAGTCGTGACTATTTAGGAATTTTGGAGGACCCATTTCATCCAATGGTCCAAGCGCTGTTTCAGGAGCGAAACACCGTCTGTCAAGATGATAATGCCGCGATCCCTACAGCTGTAATTGTGAAAAAATGGCACGAGGAACATTTTAATGAAGCTGAGCATCTCACTTGGCCTCACAATCATTAGACTTGAATATTATTGAGCATTTATGGTTGATTTTAGAGATGCAAGTCAGAAGTCGATTTTAGCCGCCATTGCATTCAAATGAGCTTGATGGAGTTTTAACTAAGGAATGAGTTAAAATACATTTGGTGACAATTCACAATTTGTATGAATCAATGCCTTGGAGAATTGAGGCTTTAATTGACGCAAAGGTGGCCTTACAAAATAAATTTTGTGAATTTCTCGTGTTTTTCCTTTATTTGTCTAACCCTGAATATATTTGAGGATAAATTTAGCAGATAAATGTATTGTATAAATAGTACGGGTTTTCCCGCGTTCCTAAATTTGGAAATATTCTCGTGTATTTCTTGGCCGACTAATTGTCACCAAGCCGTCTTATATAGTAGATATGTACAAGAAAAATATATTACTTTCAAACATTCCTATTGAGTTCATATTTTTATTAGCTTAACTTTAAGTGTAAAACTATTTGTTCACAATGGAGCTAGAAGCCAACAATAGTATGTTAATTAACTCTTGATTATAATTCAACTATATGGCGCTCGCCTTCAGACCCATTGTTACAAACGAAAGGAAAATAAATCAATAACACAACGCGGCTTTGAAATTTGCGCTACCAGACGCTATACATTTCGAATTCTAATTTTTGAGTGATATTTTTTTGTTTAATTTTCCCGTCAAATTTTTTATTCCCTCATATTGTTATTAAGCTCATGCAGTTCACTCATTATGTATGTGCAAAAAGCACTTTAAGTGCACATCTCAAAGTCCAAACTCGAGAGGGAATGCAAACGCGGCCTGAAAAGAGCCTATATAGCGGCTCTATGAGCTGCTGTTCTTTAAGGAGGCTCGACCGTCAGCGCCCGCCCAGGGCACGTGCGCTTCATGGCACGTAAACAGCTTCATCTTGATATCAGGCTATAATATTTAAAATTAATGAGCTAACAGAGGCAATAGAAGTCGTTTCGTTGTTCAATTGTCATAAAATAGCCTACAGCCAGCATTTCAAATACACCTTCTTCATCCCTAATTTGTTATAAGATTGTGATACTGGCAGAGGCGAAGGTCGGTTGTGTTTAGACTTTAAGGTATAGGCAAGTAAAAAAATCAGTCATTCTTAATATAATCGCCTTTCATGCGAATCTATCGTTTAACTTAATAGTTAAACCTATAGTTACTATATTAAACCTACCTATATATAGTATTAATAGTTTTAAACTAAACTTGATAGTTTAGTTTAAAACTAAACATCGAGGTCATACTATGACTGTAAAATAATATAAAAAATTTAATTTTTCAGTCAAAATACAAACAATGGTTTTCTTTAA